CCTTGCGCGTTTCTATTATCCTACGTCCTCGGCCGAGACAGCCGTCTTTGATGTGCTAGATGCCACATCACTCCACCTCATGACCCTTCTGACGCCTACGCCTAAACGACGCCCCCAAGAGGGACAACGGTGCCGAGCGTCGTCATCCACGGATTCAGAAGGCCCAGATCTTAGCGTTTAGTTGGAGCGAGTACATTTTTCAACAAAGGGTGGATTTCATTGGCTCAAAATGAAGTATCAAGATAATATAAACATAATGAATGCACACCTGGCGTCTGCATAGGTAGGATGCACACGGCCAACATCAACAGACACACATAAAATATGCGGCAAATAGCAAAGTCATATAGGCAAACTGTAACAATGACCATATCTACAATGAGCGAGTACGTGAGAGAGAGCTAGACGAGGCCTTCAACAGAGTAACTGTGCATAGACGACGCCATCGTCCTCCAAGACCGACGTGTACACGAGAACTAGGCTTCTAAGGCTAGCCATAGTGGGGGTAACTTAGGTAGTAACTTAACACATTCCAAGACAATTTTGCTTATGTGGCAAGTATTTAATGAGGAGAGAGGTGCTTGGAGTAACATAATATGTTACTGTAACATAGCGCTTCCCGAGGTAAAATAAGTCTATAAGGCAATAAATGAAACAAACTATGACACTACTATTAAGATACTTTGCACTATAAAGGTAGTAACTTAGACTAGTGTCATGCATATGACACTAGTCTAAATTACTCCCCACCATGACCGCCTAAGAGAAGATCTTGATATGGAAGAAACCGGATGGGTACGCAGATCCATGCATGCATGCATCCACATCTAGCACACCACACGAGATTGGTACCGGTAGAGATTCACAAGCCTACTATTGCTTGGATCGATCGATGGAGAGGCTGCGGCGGGCAGGCAGGGAAAGGAACACAAGATACTACTCCCTCCGTTCGTAATTACTTGTCTCAGAAATGGATGTATCTAGAACTAAAATACGTCTAGATACATCCATTTTTGCGATAAGTAATTCTGAACGGAGAGAGTACTATTTTCAAGACAGACAGCCACGTAGATCGATGAACAAGTGTCATCAAGCGACCTGCTGCTTCTACGTCTGGCAGGTGGCAGAGCAACCGCAGTTAAATGTTGACTGCTGCACTTGTTGGTGCAAACGTCACGCTTGCTCGCGTCACCACCGCCTACGCATGCAGCTCTGCTTCTCTTTGTATATCAGTCGTCAGGAGCTAGCCAACTATAGATTAGTGCATGCTGCGCGATGAACCTAACGGAAGTAACGTACCCACCAAATCCAAACCATGACCCCTAAAAATAAAAATCTTGCCTGACAGTTCATCAGTCCACTAGACTTTTTGAACACTTTCAGTCCACCCGGAACCCAAAGAGAAAAAGGTCGATTTCACAAATAAAAATTACAGTTGCACATTACAACCTAAAAATAAGATAGTTACACATCTCTATAAGTACAGTAGATACAGGTTTAAAGTGCAACTGCAGCTCAGAAAACAAGAATTGACTAGTTTCATATCCAATCTACAAAAGGAAAATCGAACATCTAGATGATAAAAAACTAAATAAATAAAGTTGCTTTTTTGGAATATAAAAGTTAAATATTTTGAAATGTTGAACTAGTGTGTGGGATTCATGCGCAACCCTAGAGTAGATAGAACGACTGAAATCGCCAACGAATAATCAACTAGCAACATAAAAAAAATCCAGTCAACGAATAGAAAAAAGTTATGTTAAAACAGGGGGAAATCAAACCTTTAAGCTACGTTGATCTTGAGAAGCCTAATAATGTACTTATGATGACATTTCACTGCAAATTGTCCTTCACAAACAAGGAAACAAACAAACAAAAACGGTTGCATCGAGGGGACCCACCCTCCCTGGTACTTCCAAATGGTGTAGTTGACATACTAGCTAGCGGTCCTTGTTGGATGGTCCAAGGCCAGCAAACGATTTGCAGCAGTCATACCTCATCTAGTTGATGGCAGTTTATCTACCATTCAATATGCTGGCGGTACAACTCTTATTAAGGAACATGCTGGCCTTGAAAAGGAAAAAAAAACTAAGCTATCATGATAGGTACTCTCAGAATTTACAAGTTATTGTGATAGATACTCTCACAGTCTATTCTCTCTAAATATTGTCCTTTAGCAGTAACCACATCTAGTCAACATCAAATTATTCTGTAATTATTTTGTCATTTAGCTATCTTCTCAGCTAGCTATTTCTCTCCACATATGGCTAGAAAAATAGTATTGGGGCGGTGCCAATTAGTATCTGACATCGACGAGTTTGACCATAGGATAATTTATCGTTCGGCCTGCTAGAGAGCTAGGAATGTGATACATTATATACAGATGTACATCATCTCATCATCTGTATACATGTCGGTTGTCAATTCACTTACTGATTTTGTGGGGTTGGTTGTGGTTCAATTTTACACATGTTGCTCCGGTTCGACCATGTTGGTTGTTATTTCCATTGGAGCTAGACATCAATCAAGACCATCTACGGTATTACTCTATCCACAAGCTCACCGTTATAAAATTGGTCTCACTGTGGTTCAATTGAATTTTTTAAACCTTTCATTGACTGAAAACTAATAACGGCATTGGTAAACATTAAAAGAAAATGAATGTATTTACAACCTACAAAGAGATAGTTGCACATTTCTAAAAGTAGCACTGGTTTGGGTTAAAGTTGCAAGAAAGGAATAAAACAAAGAATCGGCTGAATTTAAATCAAACCCGCAAAATAAAATCGAGCATACTGGTAAAAAGTAAAAAAAAACATGGTTAAACATTACAAATATAGCAGTTGTATTTGATATGTGCAACAATAGAGTACAAAGATAAATCAATTGAAATTGCTAAAATAATAGTCGAGTGGCAAGACAAAAAATTCATGCTGCTTCGTCGGAAGAAAATCTGTTAAAATAACAAAAAAAATCAAAATCTTAAATCAGGCAGACCTTGAGAAGCCTAGCTAATAATAAAGTAAAGTTGACATTTCTACTGCATACTCTTGATTTCAAAC